GGGCGGGGGAGCAGGAACCGAGGCCAGTTCAGGGGCGGTTCGTTCGGACAGGACAAGGGTAAGGGAAATGAGAGGATGGTGACGCACCTGAATAAGTCTGCTAGACGACAGGAGATACGCCAAGGCTGCGTAGAGGCGGACACACACACACACACACACACACACACACACACACGCTCGCGCGCGCGCTTTTTCTTCCCTCTCAAATAGATAACCCCTATGGTACCTTTTGAATAGCTCTAGAGTTTGGAGAATAAAAATCTTTATAATGTATTGCTTGTCTTTAGCCAAACACATTTAACAACCGCAACAAAAAGGGGGAGGAGTGAGGAAGCGGGGCTTGAACCAAAAGACCTTTCTTTAAAAAAAAAAAAAAAAAAAAAAAGTCTGCAAGTCCAAAGGTCATTCTCCAAGTTTGTAAATAAAATTGCAAAGGGAGTTCTTTAAAAAGGAAGGAGGATGGGAAAGAAGGAAGGAAGGAAGGTAGAAAGACCCACAAGTTACATAAAATGGTGCATTGGAAAAACAAGACAGGGCGATTCTTTGGGAGAAAAAAGTCTTAGGAAACCAGTAAGGGAAAAACACTGAAGGCAAAAAGAAAATGAGGGAGGAGAAAATAAAAGGTAGAAAGGCAAAAGAAGTTTCCAAAGAAATGTGTGCTTTACGTCCCACAATAGGAAAGTGTAGCCATTGCCCTCCCTCAGACGAGACATTTCTAATTTGTTCCGTCTGTCAGGAGGGGACTATGAGAGGTTTGGGTGCAAATTCATTATCTCTGGCAACGCAGAACGTAGTGTGGGGACTGAAAAAGACCGTGGCAATGGATGAACAATAGGGCTTCAGTTCATCAGTAACAAAAGCAGTGGGGAAATTGGTTGAGTTTCAGAGCACGTCCTCCTCGGCAGAGGGGGCTGGACTAGACCTTGGACAGCCCCCCCAAAAACTTGCCGAGCCTCGCACACACCACTTCACTCTCCACTCCGAGGCTCAGGGAGCAAGTGCCTGGCGTGGGGGGGAAAAGTTGGCTTTTTTTTCCTCCTTGGTCTTTTGCACCCTTCTCTCTCTCCTCAGAAGGGAAGACCCGTTTAAACTATTTTAGACGCAATCAAGCAAGAATCACCATGTGGAATTGAGCGGCAGTTTTAAATGTGCTGAGGAAAGGAATGATCTGAAGTCTTTTTTTTTTTTTCTTTTTCTTTTTGGATATGCCGAAAGGAGCCTGTTTGTGTGCTGCAGCCGAGCTGTGACTCTGGATCTTGTCTTCGGGCCGGCGCCTCGGTTCCTGCCCAGCTGGATTTAGGGGGCAACATTGCCTGATGCAGGGAGATCAAGTGAGTATGTGGGACCCGCGGGCTGCAGTTTGGCTGGCGGCGCCGGGCCACGAGTGCTCGCCGCGGCCCGGCGCCCGCATTCCTCACCTCGCTCGCTAGCCCGTGCCCGCAGAGCCCTGCTGTGGGCCGCTCCGAGGGCCAGTCCGGGGCTTTGCTTCAGCTAATTGATTGTGTGCCTCGGATGCTAAACCTGTTGATCTCCGGAGTTGTCTGAGCCCGGACTGTTAATTATCCAGCAGTCTGACCCCCAGTCGCTGAGAGAGGCCAGGAAAATTGCGCGTTGAGAAGGGAATTTTGTATGTAATTTTGTGTGGGTGGTGGTGGGACTTACCCCTTCTTAAACCTAGAGCGAAATATAACTATATTTTGCGTTTCTGGAGTCAGGATTTGTCCTTTGAATAATCCGTTTCCTTATAACCGCTCCAAAGTGGCAATTACCTGGCTACGAAGTGAGGCTCTGATTAGCTCCTGGAAGAAAACTTACGTACAGTAGCAAACCAGATCTGGTGGACTTCCACTTCCTTTTCTCTCTTTGCCTTTTGGGTTTGGGAAGATGAGAGGCCGCTGTGCAGGGTTATCCCAAGTTCAGATTTATCAAGGTGCAACCACCATGGTTAGTTATTGGGACTTGAGGAGGTTCAGCTTCAGACACTTCTGGTATCCGAGCCGAGCTGGGTCTTTGAGTCATGCTTAGAGCCTAGACCCGGTTGAGGAAGGCAACGTCCTTTCTGTGGCCTGGAATTATCTGCGGAAACTCGGGGTGGTGGGAACTGCTCGGGCAACATATTTGCATTAGTGTCTGCAGCGTTTTCTCTTGCAAATGTACCCGCAATGCTTGAATGGAGGACTGTCTTGAGGGGTCAGAGCTGCAGTGTATAAGATCAGAAGTTAGACCAGAGGCCCTGTCAAGTCATGGCCACGGCCGGGGTGGGGGCCCCCTTCCGAACGGTGACTGCCTTAGGCCTAGAACTGCCAGGCAGGATCAGACCCAGTTTCTTTCTTCTACTGGTGTCCATCTCTGCTTGCCACCCTCCTTCTCCACCGGACACCAGTAATTAGGGTGCTATTTCAGAAAGCAAGCGTCTATACTCAACATAATTGAACCAGTCCAGTGCTTTCATTTTGCAAAACCGATAGCCCCACCCTACCAGTCCAAAATAACAATAAGCATAAAAAAATCATAAAAGAAAAGCAAGCTATTTTGGGAGTGTAAGACTTCCTGAATATTGGATCGTGGGGGGATGGGGGAGGGGGAAAATCCACCGCTTTACAGCAATCAGGTTTTACATTATTCATTGATTTAGTGGAGGAAAGAGCCAATCAGGAGCCACAGATATGAATGCACACCTCACTGTTGCTGCTGCGGCCTTACAGTAAACTATTTGCATCTTTTTAATGGATTAGATATTTATCCAGGGATTCCCATTGTTTGAAAGGCCTAGCGATCCAGTTCCTTAAACATTTAGAAAATAAGATTTTGTTCCAGTCTTAAAATCTTTATTTAGAAGAACTCTCACTTCTCTTTTGTATGGCAGGTTACAAGGTTCAAATCCCTAATGTTTTTTAAGAGTCCCTCCTCCTTCTAAGCTAAAAATAAAAGGGAAAAAAAAGAAAGAAAAAATTAATTTCCCAAACCCCTCCAGATTCTGCATATTTTGCACTCCCATTATCATGCATGTCTTCATTTAAATGCAAATTAGCATATTTAACCCTGTGGGTGCTGAGGCCCAGGCTACTTTGTGTTGGGGTTTTATGGAATTTCTTGTTATTTTAAGGAATCATGGTAATTGCAATACTTTAAGTGAAGCTGTATCTTGATATGATCATATACATGTATATTAATACTGTGATCATTTGTTTTCTTGACTGTTTTTCAGATTAGACTGCAAAGAAGATGAATAGAATGAATAGACAACCCAACCAACCAAAGGTAATATTAAAATTTATATTTGTGAAAATCAAAGTGATACATAAAATCAAAATTAAATATTATGTACTGGGTGGTAGGCCTGCAGTAAACTGCATATCTCTCAATTCGTGCAATATATAGAATTCCAGAAAAATCTGATTTTTTCCCCTGTAGAGAACCATTGTATATTAAATACTAGCAAAATGCAAACATAATCTGTAACTGCATATCAAAAACAAATTCAGGATATAGGTGAAATAATAGGACACTTTTATCAGAAAGTAAGCCAGTCAAATACTTTGCCTGAACTATACACATTATTGTACATTAAATGGCATTTAGGAAGAAAATGTTCGTCTTGACTGTATTGGTGGACTGTGTCTTCATGCATATAAACCAAATCATACAAACTAAATATTAAAAGGGGTTTTCTATGATAGGCCAATTCTTTATGCATTCTGTAGTAGTCTGAATAGGATTCAGAGTGTTCTACATATTGGTGACAAATTGATATATTTGAATTATGCAATAGTATCATTCTGATCCAAATATTGGGAAATGATAACTTTGCACTTTTAACTTAAGCAGAGATTGTTCATTCCCAAGTAAACCAAGATGATTCCATTCATGTTTTAGCCATCTGGAGACCTATATAAAGATTCAAAAACAAGCATGACAATCATGTCCTAATCTACTGGCCATTAATGGGACTTTATTAGAGAATGAACAGACAAGGCATTTAAATTCAGTATATCTTTCAATATGTAGATTTCAAAAAACAGGTTTTCTGTAGCTCAGCTAAATAGCTTTTGAAAGCAAAAATATCTGACATAAAAAGCACGTAGGTGTTAATAGTTGCTCTTTAACAACGTGTGACAGACATAATTAGGAATCTTTGGAACTGCACAACTGTCTCAACTTGTCTCATATCCTACATAATAATACAGTCCTTGAAATATATATGATCAACCACGCTATAAACTTGGTAGTATTCAAAATAATCAGATGTTGTGTATTTTGTCTTTCTCTGTACCCTGAGAGATGATGGAGAGGTGAAATATCTAATAGGTTATATGGCTAATGAATGGACACTCTGCCTGTAATTCCAGCGTTGGCTATTTTCACTTATTGGGGCTTCCATGTTGAATCTATGGTTTATGTGCTAGGCATGAGTGCCAGTCCTGGTGTCAGTTGATATGACAATGTGGCATTGCCCTAGAAGATGCTCTTTTTAAGACAGTGTATTCTGCAGCTTCTAATCGTAGCAGCATCTTAAATATTCAGTATCTTGGCTTTTGTGATGGGTACTTTGGTTCTAAAAATGCATTTAATTGTTCAGTATGGGAATATAGTCATATTAATTTGCAAATTCACACAAACACAGGGGTGATATATACATCCCAAACCATACATGTATTGCATCTTACTATTTTCATCAGTTCCACCCAGGTGTATATAAAGCAAAAAGCTATTCTAAAAATATCTGGTATTTCTTGGGCTTTGACTTAAGGAAGTGAATTCATCTGGTCACATGTTTGCTTTATGTAATACATGCCAAATCACTAATGATTCTGCTTCTAGGTCTTGGAAAGCAGGGCCACAATACTCTCAATCTTCCAAGGCAGCAAAGCTCATTAGGGTTTTACATAATGTCCAAGTGGCATGTGCCTTACCAATGGTAGATTTTTATTCGGTGGTTGTTGTCATAACCAGATAGTTCAAGAAGGAGCAGTAACTCCACGAGAGTGTTTCTCTGAATTGGTTTATGGTTGCATGTGCATTTTATATATAACCCAATGTAGCCATCTCCAATAGTACTTCTTATACTACAATTTTATAAGAAAAAGAGGGATTTCCAGTTTAGTCTTTTCTAAATAGTCAGTATTAGGATGCTCATGAAAGATGTAAATAATCTAGAGAAAAGTTGCCATCTTTGTTATTCAGTCATACCTTTAGTTGGTGTGATATTGTTGCTTAAACTCTTTATTGGGGGCTTTTTCTAGCAATTTTGGCTTTATTTCCTTGTCAGTCTTTTCTGGTTTTCTCGTCAGCCTTACAAGAGTTTACATATGTGCTCTGTATATAATTTGGTGAGCATGTTCACAGTCACATCTTAAATGAATAATCACTGAAAAAATGAACGTGTGTATATTAATTCTGAAATGTTCTAGTCATTGGGGAAAATGATCAGTCTACAAAAATGAGAGGATCGTGATAAACTAGTGCTATGTGCAATGAATATTAAGATTTATTACAGTCTCTTTTTTTGTATTTTAAAGAAAGGCAACACTGCCAAGCATAACTGGTAATTTTGAAACCAATCCATGATGTTCACCCATGGTGAATATGCATCTTATGGAGATTATCTTAGATGTTTTGTTGAGGGGTACCTGAATGTTAGAACTATACATAAGGTAGATGGCTTAGAGATAGATCACCCATTAGGAAGGAGCAAGGAGAAGAAAAGGACTCTTGGAAGTGATCATATTCACACTTTGAAAAGTTCCAAGAAAGGGAATGAGGCTAATTAATAAAACAACATGCCCCTCCAGACAGAAGAAAGGTGGGGGAAGGGAAGGGAAAAGGGGGGGGAGGAATTATGCTCTTAATATGCAGGTGTTTTATCTGTATTTTTCATGGGGCAACAATACTTTTTTCATAGTTTGACAAGCAAGACTAGTAAATTTTTATTCTGTAGGAAAATTGATGTTTAAATACAATAGACAAAGACCCTGCATTTTTATTACAGCAGAGTTGTGTACAACATTAGAAACTACTGCTGCAGTATTTGCCTCTGCTGCATTCTAAAGCACACACCTTATATATGAAGTCATTTGTTAAAAAAAAAAAAAAAAAGGATGAAGTCCACTTCCTTAGAGCATTCAGTTTGAACTTACAGGACAAAATACGCTGCCCTATTGCCATGGTACATAGATACGAAACATGACTGAGCTGTGAAGCCATTAAAAACACGACACCAGAGCAAATTGTCAATGTAATCACACATCGACTCACTGCGTAATACAGATCTGATTCCCAGCCCCAGAAAGCGAGGCCCTGCCATAGCAAAGTGCCTTCCATCTGTCTGCCTATGCAATCTGCCAGAAGAGAAATGCAGGCAAGGACGTTCCCCAGATCTGAAATGCTTTTATCTGTCCTTAGAGAGAGATTTCTTCCAGTCTTTGGATATTAGAGCGATCTACACTAGCACCGAGGAGGTAAAAGGCCGCGGGTTGCTTTTCCAGGATCAGTCGGTAGTGCTAGCAGAAGAGATGTTGACTGAGAAAATAGAGCTTGTTGCAATGCTGCCGCTGCTGCTGCCGCCGCTGCCGCTGCTCGGGCAGCAGGCGTGGGGCAGTTGGCTGATCACTGATGCATATCAATAACCATGTACTTGAGATTTCTCATGACATCATCATTACCTTGGTCTCCCGCGGTCTCGAACCTTTGACCTTGCCGGGCTGGTCCACAATTTGGCAGTGAAAGCCCCTCCAATGATGGCCCTTTTCTCCTTCTTTCAGACCGGGGGCAGCAGCACGCCAGCAAGACGGCATCTTCTCCTCAGCCTAGAAGCCCTGTGAAATCGAGGATCTTCCCCCTAAAACACACACACACAAGATATGTGCAATCAAGCTGCCACCGCTTGGTAAAAAGCTCATGGTGCCTAACCCAAAAGGATCAGGAGCAGATCCTTGAATCAGCTGTCACTTCTATAGAACGGGATTTTTTTTTTTTCCTTCCTCCTTAACCTGCGCTGGAAATTGCCGTTGGCTTTATACATCTCTATAGAGGGAGGCTAAAGAGTCTTGCGTGAGAATGAAGCAATTTACAATGCAAATAGAGGCCTGTGAAGGGACGGATGCTGCTCCTCACTCCTAACAGCTTGCTGTGCACCTTAATAGCTGGTCTTATTTTCTGATATTAATAGATGAATTGTTGGCTTACACTGCCGGAGATTACTTGCTGAAAGGAAAAAAAAAAGTTCGGAATAAACTCTGAAGGCAACAGATCTCGTTTGGATGTTTTAGCCGCGCACACACACAAACAGAAACCAGGTCATGTTTGCATAAAAGAAGGAATCTTGAGCGCGGCGAGTATTCTGGACGACTGCTCTTCAGGACTGCCAGAAGGGATCCGGATCTGGAGTCTGGCAAGAGGAAGACTGAGGCGTGTGAGGGAAGCGAGTTGTTATCTTTGGTTATCTAGCTGTATGAGTGTATTGGTCTTCATAAAGCTAGATAACCGAAAGTAAAAACTCCTTCAAGATCGCCGGGGAGCGTGGGAGAATGAAAGACTACAACCAAGAGACAGTAAAAACCAGAAAGGTCAGGAATACTTATTGAATCTAACTTTGTTTTTGTTTTGTTTTTGTTTTTGTTTTGACCTTATGACTAAATGTGGGATGAGAGGAAATCAGTGACATGCATATGCCAAAATATAGAGGCGGTGGAAATATTGGAGAGGGGTCGTTAGAGTTGCGAAGGAGAATTGTATAGCGCTAATGAGTAAAGATGCATGTGCAATTTGTTCTATTTTAAGGCACGAGTTTATATGTGAGGCAGGTGTTTTTTCTTAGAAAGCTGTTGTAGAGATGTCTGGTATCTAGTTTAAAATGATTCTGTGCTATGTAGACTTGGGCAGTTCCCTTCTGAGGCCCCTCCCCCCCAACACTTGACAATTGTGCTTGGAAACTATTTTACATGTATTTGGGCTGTATGTCAAATGATATGAAATTAGACTCTCAGAAAAGTTCATACTGGAAGGTTCATAATTTATATCTACTCAGAACTTAGAGCTAGCAGGGAAAATGAAAAAAAAAAAAAAGCAAAGGCTGATTTTTATTCTTCTATTCAAAATACAAGGACAGATGCTTCTCTGTTCCAAGAGGGTTTCCTTGAGGAAGCTACTGAAGCAGAAAGACATGATGGAGACGAGATCGCCTCCCCTCTTGTCAAAGTGTTAAAAAAATGTTCTGTCTTACTCTGCGCCTAGCATTGGAAATGAAAGTGACATTTACGCCACAACCCACGTGTGCGCCTCCTCTCTTTTTGTTTAAGGATGATCAGGTCTATCCAGGAAACAGCTCTGGCATCCCAAACTGAAATAATTAGGACGTATATAGACCTGACAAAAATGGAAAGGGGGTGGGGAATCTGAGGGTCTGTCTTGCCTAATTGATTCTGCTAAACGGAATGCAAGAGATGTGAACGGCAGGACGCTCCGATTCCCACGCTCGGGGGCAAGCGGTAAAGCGCCCGGCAGCCTATGACAGACAGCCCTGTTGGGGGGTGGGGGTATGAAAAAAACATCAAGTGCACACACCATACTCATCTCCATCGCTTAAGAAAGTAAAGGCATTTCCCACCCACAGCCATCTGCAGCCTCCCAAATGGCAACACCAACTGGTCTGGAGCTGCAGCAGTACTGTTCCTGCTAGTTTTAAAACCGCTGTTTAATCTAGCCATAATTAAGTTTGGCTTTCTTCTTTGGTTGAGATTTTCTGTATTGAAGGACAGCTAGTAGAAAGTGATTCCAAGGGAGCCCCATGACTGCCTGCCCCTCATGCCAAATTCTCAGCCCGTCCTTGTGGCCTTGTGACCACCTTTTTGGCTTTGGGTTTGGGTGGGTTTTATTTTAAAATACACAGCTCTCTCTATGTAACAGTCATTATTACGATTCTCTCAGACTGTTTACCTCTCAACTTGAGACTCCTAGGAACTTGACCTAATTATACTCGTGGATATGCACTGGAAGTAAAATTACCAGGTCATCAACTTGCAGAAAGTCGATTATAATAACAATATGTTAAAAGGTTGTTTTGGAAGAGTCTCAGTGAGATACATTATGAACAGCCATTTTTATTTCATTTAAAATAACTATGACTAGGGAAGCTTGGTGCTTTGGAGGTCCCCATTGTAATCTTTTCAGAAAAGTCTTCATGTTTTTCCACATGTCACCAAGTAAACGTTTGCATAGGCACTGACACATAAATACCAACATTGCAATCGGAACATGCCCGTGATGGCCTGTTGCCACCCCCATGGCCTAGATCACTGACAATCCCGAATAAAAATATTTTATACAAAAACAGTACATTTTCCTTTGTAGCTTCAGTTCCTTCAGAGACTTCAGACTGGAGAAGCCTGTAAAACCACTGTTAGTTTCAGTTAGAAACTCTGAGAGACTTTATTAACGTAAATTGTCAGTTTGGCTGTTGAACACGTGCCAAAGTTTTACTGCTGTAGTGACCGTTGAGAAGACCCTTGTTTATTTACATTGGGAGCACTGTTTGTGCAAACAACCTTTCATTGTTAAGTGCCTGTATTCCTTTCATTTACTTCATGTCCAGGGGTGCTATTTACCTAGAACCATTGTCTACTACAATTAACATTTACATTACAAAGTGTGTGGTTTTCTTTCTCAAGGAGGTTCAATTAAGGCAATAAGATGTTTGCTGGTGAAACCTATTGTTTACTGAAAGCACTCAATGGAGTCAAATTACTGAAGCTTTTGCCTACCTCTTGGTCTTTTATGTAAATATGTTAAATATAACATCTAAGGAAAATAAACAATATTATAATTATGTGTTTGCCATTGTCATATCAAACTTGCTTTGTATCATACTAATGTTACATAACTTATCGATCAATAAAAATACATTTCAATGTTATTATTTTCATTTTATTTTTTGCTGTTCCACTGCTCTTGCTGCAACATGTCCCAATTTTTTCTTTTTTCTATTACACATCAAACTTCTGACATTTTGTTTTATTTGTGTGTGTTGAAGAGAAGTACTGTATCTGAGCGTGGGTCTGAAGGGTGTCTGGGATCGTCTCTACCATGCCCTTATATGATAAGGTGATATTTCTTTGAAATCTGAAATATTCCAAAAGCATGTACATTTAAGTCCAAAGAAGTGTAAATATCAGTTAAGTAGTTCTTTGAAAGCTAGTTTTAACATTGGCAGAAACCGGATCAAGTTTATTTAGCATACCACTGCATTGTAAAACAGTTGGAGTGAAGTTGCAGGTTGCGTGAGTATGCATGTTAACTAGTGGGAACCAAGCACGGTCTTTGTGAAAGGGGAGCAGCAGATTGCTGTGCAAGGCCAATGTTAAAAAGGCAGCTGAATTTAACACCATCTGGAAGAAAAGATCCCTTCACGACTTTCTCACACCGTCAGACAAAACTAGTGTCTCTTGTTCCAAGCCCTTGTCTATGCGACCATACAATACTGAGTCATTATACTTTTGCTGAGAGAAAATTTGAGAACACAATATGGGTAACCAGTGAATGACCAAGTTTCATTGTGCCCGCTTAAGTCGATTGAAATCTACGTCTAGAGCTATGAATGGTAGTATTGTTTTCCTCACCAGGGCTGTACTAAATGTCAGCACAGTGTAAAGAAAAACTTGAAGTCTGCAAATAACTTACCAGATCTCAATTATAATATTTTCCCACACTAGAACTAATATCATTGCGAGGGGCTACATTGCAGAAAATACAAAAAGAAGTGAAAAGAAATAGAGAGTTCATTAAGAAGTTATTTTATCCAGACAAACATTTTAATTTTCTGATGGGAACTTCAATTCAGGCTGCAGGCTGGATTGAGAGGTGGAACTCATTATTGGGAAGTTCAAGTTACAAAAATGCTTCTTGTGCAATTAAAATAGAATAAAACAAACACCTACTCCCACCTGAAACTTTCTCTTCTTAAATATAAACAGACTTGACTTGGGTTTTATTGCTATAGTTCTGCTTAGAATTGTTAGTGTGAATGCAGCTTGAATTTTGCTTTAAATTTGGGCATACTGCCTTTCCAAAGTTTGCCATTATGATTGACACTGCAAAAGAACACCATAGACGGACATTCCAAAAATGTGCAAGAACGTTCTGGCACCTCCCTAGGTGGAGTCTGGTGCGCTCAGAAATGCACTTTCCCTTTAAGTTACACCCCTCCCCCATTTTCTAACTTTTTTTGTCATGTGTACAAATCTGTTATCCTTAGGTTTAACATTCACATGATCTATTTGACTGTAAACAGTCAGAAAAAGGAAACAAAACAGTTCAAAAAGAGTAAAAGGAGTTGGTTGTGTATGTTTTATTAGGGTGTCTATTTTAAATATAATTGACTTTGCAATTTTGTTATTGTGTCACCAAGTGTCGCATAGTTCTTAACATGTAAGTGCAAAACAATGAGTAATTGCTGTTTTGCTGAATGATCCATCTGCGTTGCCAATGTCAAAGGTATTATTTTGTGTATTTCTAAACAGGAACATTAACTGCAGGTTTTGACATCTAGAATCTCTTCATGAAATACTTAGAAATAGGCCGATAAAATGATACCTGTAAAAGTAGATAATAAAGATGTAAGCAAGATCTTTATCCTTCTTTGACACCAGAAAATTAACACTCAATAATCAAATTATAAAAGATTTAACATAAGCAGAGTTACACCAACAAACAAACAAACAAACGTCCAAAACAACAACAAAAATGGAAATTGGATGGGGGTTAAACAAAGGTATATAGGAAGACTATATATTCATTCTGCAATATTCTTGCAGGATGTGAATGGCTATATCCACCAGAATCAATAACCCCCTACTCAATCATCATTAGTGTGCATACTAATGAGATAAGTGTATTATTTACCATCAAGATGGAATATTTTTCCAAAGTGGCATTTCTCTAAGTATTCTTAAACATCAGATTTCTAATACTAGTGCTCTCTGTGTTTATTGAAAACATTAAAATGATT